AACAACAGTTGATCAGCGAAGTTGCAGTCTGTGGTGAGAGTGACGGACACAGCCTTGACCACTATCTACGTGAATGTGAACACCTGAGAGACATTATAAATATGTGTAGAATAATAAACCTCACATTGTTTGAGTTAGGAAAACATTATTTGTCAAATATTGATATTGTTCTTAAAAGATTCCCCCTATTTTGCACCCGCAAGATAGCTTAAGATTTTAAGGGTTGACAGATGTTAATCTTCTTGTTTGAGGAGCTGTTCAATTCAGAGTTAAGCAAGTCCCAGCTGTGTCTGGGTACAAGTGACAGGATGAACAACCCAGCGGGTTTTCTTCCTATTGGGGAGTGTTGTATATGCTGCTATGACGGTGTGTCCACTCACAGGATGAGTGACGCTGCCCAATACTGTCACTATGACGGTGTGTCCACGCACAGGATGAGTGGCGCTGCCCAATAAACTCGCCCCACGGGCAAAATTTAAAGAAAACAAAAAAAAAATAATCTAGTCCAACTACTTTTGATGTGTTAATTTGATCAATCAGCTTTTATTTCTGAAAAAAAATCGCCAATGCTACTATGTCAGTATTTGTCTACAAAATATAATGACCCCGACGATTGATAATGGGCTAAAAATACACGTGTTAAATTTGATTATTATTATTATTAACATCTTTATTGACAAAATTACAATTTTGCCTAATCTGAGGATTTCAATTAAGTCCTATTAAAGTGAGGATAATGCTGATATTCACTGTCACGCAGGACAGAGGGTCATACAGAAGACAATAGGTGTTAAATTTGATTACAGCAAGTGTCCCCAGGTGAGACAGGTTTCACTGACAACTTGAGAGCCATGTTGGACGCCAATCGTTGCATCACTGGCAACACTGGCCCGAGTGCCACACATTCTCTTGGACCGGAAACTATTTTACTCGAACAGTAATAGCCTATTATTGCAAGAAGAATGGAACTGTTACTTGTAACCTAATGCGGATTGCAAGACTTGTGAGGCTGCTCTTGTAGCTTTTGGAGCGTTATTGTATCATTCGTAACGGGTTAATCTTGGCTACTGTATTTCAATGAATCTTAATTTTGTTTGAATTGATCATTACGCTAGTGCGATTTACCTCTTGTCAGAATTGACACGACAATGAAGATGATGCAATAAATAGGATTCTCCCCAAAGACCTTATGAACCTGGGGGTGTGATGGTGTCATTGTTCTGGTGTGTGTGTGTGTGTGTACTCTCCTAGTTGTGCTTGCGGGGGTTGAACTTTGGCTCTTTGGTCCCGCTTCTCAACTGTCAATCAACTGATGTGCATATTCTGGAGCCTACTGAGCTCTATCAAATCTACATTTGAAATATTGTATGAAGTCAGCCTCCACCACATCACTGCCTAATGCATTCCTTTTGTTAACTACTCAGACACTGAAAAAATTCTGTCTAGTGTGTCTGTGGTTCATTTGGGTACTAAGTTTCCACCTGTGTCCCCTTGTTTGTGTTCCACCGGTGCTAAATAGTTTGTCTTTCTCCGCCCTGGCAATTTCCCTGAGAATTTTTAAGTGGTTATCATGTCTCCCCTTACTCTTCTGTCTGCCAGGGACGTGAGGTTTAGCTCCCGTAGCCTTTCCTCGTAGCTCATATCTCTCAGTTCTGGGACTAGACTTGTGGCATACCTCTGAATCTTCTCTAACGTTGTCTTGTGTTTAACTAGGTATGGACTCCAGGCTGGAGCTGCATAATGTTGGGTTTACGTTGCCGCGTAGCTGTTTGTTTCCAGGAAATGTAAAATATAAGATGTCTTGTAGTTGGAGCCAGGTTTAACAGTAAAGAACTCCATATTCCTACGCCTGGCAACTCAGCAGCTCTGCCCTAGTTTCCTCAACAACAATTTATGACCGGATATATACCTCGCCTTGAAGCTCACACTATCTCTTGCCGCAAACCACATTATCTCTCGTGCCGTACACTACACTATCTTCTTGTAGACCATACTATCTTGTCGTAGACCACACCATCTCTTGTAGACCCCATCATCTCTTGTAGACCCCACCATCTCTTGTAGACCCCATCATCTCTTGTAGACCCCACCATCTCTTGTAGACCCCATCATCTCTTGTAGACCACACCATCTCTTGTAGACCACACCATCTCTTGTAGACCACACCATCTCTTGTAGACCCCACCATCTCTTGTAGACCCCATCATCTCTTGTAGACCCCATCATCTCTTGTAGACCCCATCATCTCTTGTAGACCACACCATCTCTTGTAGACCCCATCATCTCTTGTAGACCCCACCATCTCTTGTAGACCCCATCATCTCTTGTAGACCACACCATCTCTTGTAGACCACACCATCTCTTGTAGACCACATCATCTCTTGTAGACCCCATCATCTCTTGTAGACCACACCATCTCTTGTAGACCCCATCATCTCTTGTAGACCACACCATCTCTTGTAGACCCCACCATCTCTTGTAGACCACACCATCTCTTGTAAACCCCATCATCTCTTGTAGACCACACCATCTCTTGTAAACCCCATCATCTCTTGTAGACCCCATCATCTCTTGTAGACCACACCATATCTTGTCGTATACCGCACTCTCCATCTCATAAGCTACAATACATATTCTCGAAGCCCACAATATCTTCTCGTAGACTGCAATATCTGTTCTTGTAGATCACAGTATATTTATTTCATAGACCACAATATCTCTCGTGTATATATATATATATATATATATATATATATATATATATATATATATATATATATATATATATATATATATATATATATATATATATATATATATATATATATCCATGCTCGGAATTCTGAGGTTATTGACCTACAAAGAACAGCTCGTGGTGTTCACCTCAACAATAACATCTCATTTTTGCCTCCATTATTCTGAATAACAGAAGCTGACAGTTTTTTTTATTAAAAACGTAGAACGAATGCTTTGATTTTATTTTCCATCTTTTAAAATTATTTACTTTTTCTTCTATACTATAGTCTAGGGCCTACCCAGTAAGTTAATAAGATATAGCATATATATTCTTGCTAACTGTCTCACAACTTACATTCTGTCTAAGGTTGTGTATCTATGTATTTACGTATGTAGGTTAGCTTAGCATTTTAAAAGCACCGAATCACCTTCTGTGGTTGATTGTTTAATAAACCCCTTGAACTATATGTTTAACACATCTCTAACCCTGTCCATGGAGGACAGAAGAAAATGTATATATGGTGGTTAGCATTGAAAATGTCTGGCCACGTTTGTGGTAGAAAATAATAAAAAAAAAAATCTGTCTGGGGTAGGCTGTACCGAGCTGTGCCGATCGTGGGGTACAGGCGGAAGACTGTAACTGTTCTCTGTGTAACATGTTTCATTTTACCCAATATGACTTTACTTAGGGTTAGTATAGCAACTCGTCCTCCTAAGAGAACATCGCATTTTGACGTATAGTCTACCTAAGGCCAAAAACTCGTTGTACTAGAAAATGGTAACGACTCGCAAAATTGACGTACTGTTCCGTTTTCTGTTTTGGGTCCTCTGGTAGGTTAGGATAAGGACACTTTAATCTGACCGTTTTCTTGAGGTTGAGAAACCTTAGGAGGACGGGCTGAGTATGGTACATGTATTTATACTAAATTAGGCTTAAGGTTGCGCGTTAGGATTGCCTATAATAGCTTAGAAAATATTAAGTTAGGTTTATAGTTAATGTGTTTCAGGTTTGGTGAACTTTTGGGGGGTATAACATCCATATTTTGTATAATCTATCCATAGTGGCTCTAGGTATAACTGGCTCTAGGTATAACTAGGTATAGGTATAACTAGGTATAACTAGTTATAACTAGGTATAGTTATAATAACTAGGTATAACTAGGTATAACTAGGCTCTAGGCATAACTGGCAAACCCCTCACAGTGTTCAAGAGAGAACTGGATAAGCACCTCCAAAGGATACCTGATCAACCAGGCTGTGACTCATACGTCAGGCTGCGAGCAGCCGCGTCTAACAGCCTGGTTGATCAGTCCAGCAACCAGGAGGCCTGGTCGACGACCGGGCCGCGGGGACACTAAGCCCCGGAAGCACCTCAAGGTAGCCTCAAGGTAGGTGATAAATTTTGTATGATGGGGTGACTGTGTTAGATCCTCTTGGGCCCAGGATCACCGCAGATGATTTTCGTGTCATGGCAGACTTAAACAACTTCAAATGTTGCTACTCACAGGAACGAGAAATAATAATAATTGCAACAAGCAAGGCCCAGGAAGCCATGTAAAGTTTAGTTTACTTTTAGTGTGGGAATGTATAGTGGGCACACACATATATTGAAATTTATTTATAAACAATCTAACTTTTTTTTTAAGGGATATTCCTGCGCGGGCCCTAAGCCTCTGGCTGGCCCACTGCGCGGGCCCTAAGCCTCTGGCTGGCCCACTGGGCTGGCCCTAAGCCTCTGGCTGGCCCACTGCGCGGGCCCTAAGCCTCTGGCTGGCCCACTAAGTGTTGCTTATTTCTGTTTTACTTGGGCGGAGTATGAGTATTTATGACTCGTATGGTCGCTTCAGTAAGATTTTGTCCCATGTGTTTAACAACTTCTTCTGCTCTGTTGAATCTAAGTTGAAATCTTAATGGGTTTGTAACTGTGCACTGTGTTAGATAATGTTCCAATGTACAAACCGTGCACTGTGTTAGATAATGTTCCAATGTACAAACCGTGCACTGTGTTAGATAATGTCCCAATGTACAAACCGTGCACTGTGTTAGATAATGTTCCAATGTACAAACCGTGCACTGTGTTAGATAATGTTCCAATGTACAAACCGTGCACTGTGTTAGATAATGTTCCAATGTACAAACCGTGCACTGTGTTAGATAATGTTCCAGTGGTCTGTCGGGCTCTAACTTATTGATAGACATTTGGATTTATTTATAGTCATATGTATTAATTTATAATGACGTGGTTATTGTTGTGCGGTGTGCAGGGTACTTCGGGCTGTGGCAGTGGTGTGCGGTGGGGCACGTGGGCGGGGAGCTGGAGTGCCGGGGCAAGCTGGACGACTTCACCAGCCTGCTGAACACTCCCTCCAAGGCCGCCACCATCCTCGTGGGCCTCTCCGTCGTCCTCACCCTCCTCTGTATCTGCACCATGCTGCTCTTCTTCTTCTTCCGCTCCTCCACCGTCTTCCACATGGCCGGGTGCATGCAGCTCCTCTCAGGTGGGTCCTCTCCCTGCTCTATATGTTTACCGTGTTATTTTAAGGCGAACTAAAACCAGTGTACTCTGCAATGTTAGTTATCTTGAGATCTTGAGGTTATCTTGAGATGATTTCGGGGGCTTTTAGTGTCCCCGCGGCCCGGTCCTCGACCAGGCCTCCACCCCCCAGGAAGCAGCCCGTGACAGCTGACTAACACCCAGGTACCTATTTTACTGCTAGGTAACAGGGGCATAGGGTAAAAGAAACTCTGCCCCATTGTTTCTCGCCGGCGCCTGGGATCGAACCCAGGACCACAGGATCACAAGCCCAGCGTGCTGTCCGCTCGGCCGACTGGCTCCCAAGCTATATTGAAAGACAGACAAAACATCCACCAATATAACAGCGACTGTCAGAGTGAGTTTAGGCTACCATTAAAACTGTGGCAGGTGGCTGAAAGTGTCGGCCTTCCAGTCCTGAGCTCTACCTGTTTAAACTCTGCGAGCAGGAGCAGGGTCGTAGCCTCCAAACATAACGTATTGAATGTCCAGTCATTAGACTCCGTTAGATCTGCCGGTATGAGATACCTGGAGCTTTACAATCACTTTATCCACTCGTGTTCCTGAGGATATCCTCATAACTCATCCAAAGTTTTCCAATACTGGCTGATGCATGCCCCTCAATGGCAAACCATGCGAGATTTGTGTTTTAATGTAGCACATAGTTGGCCTAAACTAACCCGAGGAGCTGCATCAGTGTCTGTGCACTTATAAGTTTGTTAATACGAGTGTCCCTCACAAGACGGTCTCTATCGGGTTAATGGCTGACCCACACATCGTCCAGGAGTTACTCAGAATGTTCGGTAATATGTTTATTATTTGTGATGTGTGTCTTTATATATATATATATATATATATATATATATATATATATATATATATATATATATATATATATATATATATATATATATATATATATATATATATATATATATATATATATATATATATATATATATATATATATATATATATATATATATATATATATATATATATATATATATATATATATATATATATATATAGGTTAGGATAAGGGGCGACAGTTTCTTGACGTTGGGAAACCTTAGGAGGACGGGCTGGATCCTTGGGTAGCAGCCTGTGTGCTTGGGGAACAGCTTAGTTGGGCGGTCGCTTGGGTGTTTAATGTGGAGTAGATTCGGATATTTTTGCAACAATTTTGTGTGGTAATATATCGTGGCTGTAATGACGTGGGAAGTAGCGAGGCTGCTGTGAGGCGTCGCCTGAGTAAGAGTGGCAATACTCGCCACAGTGGGGCTCACCATAGCCCGTGCTACATGGACATTTCGTTCTGAGTAGCTAAATCTAAAACAACAACAAACGCCACAATTGGGAATAGTATTCCTCTCTGGATCGCGACACTGAGGCGCTGGAACAAGAAACTGGCTGCTCTCGAGTCTTTAGTTTGCCTAATGAGTTCCTCACCCACCTCCTTTAGGAACATAAGTGTACATTTACCCTAAGCGCTCAGGGGTCTCAGAGCTTGTCGTCACGATCCTATAACAACGTTCTAGGTCCCTGTACTTGTTAGTTTTCTGGGTCTTCCTGAAAGGTGGCCGCCCCGCCTCCCTCAGCTGTGCTGTAAGGTAGATAGGTATCAGCCAATGTGGATGCACACGTGTATAGTCCCACACGGTTGTCTATGTATATATTAACACGTTGTACTGAATGGGGTGAGAATAGCTTGAGCTACCTCATCCCTTTGTGTGTATTTTACCTCAATAAACTTATTTCAATTTCAATTTCAATTCAATTTCAGTCCCACACGACCTGTTTACCTTCCCTCCACGGCTGCAGGGTGACTCCATCTGGGCGTTTGTGGCTGTTGTCAGGTCTGCACAACTGAGGTTCTCTTTGTGCTGGACACCCAGCTGTAGCCAAACTTCTGTTGATGATGTCATTGACTGCTTCATGTCTGGCAATCTTTCCCCGGTGACCCACAACAGATGAGTATATATACTACCTGACCCCCGACAAAGCTAATTATATAATTACAATGAATTATTAGCAAGTCAGTTTTTTTGGTCTAAACATATAACGTAGCTTATTTGAGTTTTTCAGACAAAACCATTTCTAAATTCACAACCTTTTATGAAAAAGTTTTCAAATTTGAATAACCTTATACTCACATATATGTATATATGTATAGTATATATATTATACTGTATATATAAATAATTCACCACTATCGGGGGGCAGGCCTCTCGACGTTAGGCTAATTACTGACCTGTTGACCAAGCCACACACTAGAAAGTGAAGGGACGATGACGTTTCGGTCCGTCCTGGACCATTCTCAAGTCAATTAATTACTGCCCTGCCCCCCAGATGCAACCCACAACAGTTGCCTAACTAAATATTCTATATAAAAGAAAGTGGAGAAGCGGGAGGCGTTATGAGAAAGGTGGGGCTTGCATGAGCGCCGCGGGTGGTGCGTGAGGCGGCGAGGAGTGAGTAAGAGTGTGGGAATGTTGGACCGACCTTCTCTTGGGACCGTTGTGCTGCCGTCTACCTGGGAGAAAGCTCGTACAGCCCAACACACTGCGCAGTCACTCCCTGTTTTATGACAATTTATCGTTACTTGTATAGTAATTGCGAGTCAATTTGTGTATTTATATGAATCATAGGATGGTATGGGAAGTTTATTAGCGGCCTATTAGCGCGGTAAAGGTCAGAATAGGTATTGTGAAGGATCTCTTGTCATCTCTGTCTCAGCGCTGTACCTGCTCTATGTAGCCAGCTTCGCTATACTGTTTCCTAATTTGTTTATGCATTGCCCTATGCGCCACTGAATTTCCCGATGTTAATGCAGTAAATGTCACGTTAATCACAGGCATTGTGTAATCGTATAATAGAGGCAATGAAATGTTAAAAGTATTCGCAGTAGGTGAGTTAGTCATTACTCGGTCTGTTAGGTTAGCCTGGACCCGGATTCACGAAGCAGTTACGCAAGTACTTACGAACGTGTACATCTTTCCTCAATCTTTGACGGCTTTGGTTACATTTATTAAACAGCTTACAAGGATGAAAACTTGCCAATCAACTGTTGTTATTGTTATAAACAGCCTCCTGGTGCTTCCGAGCTCACTAACTGTTTAATAATTGTAAACAAAGCCGTCAAAGATTTAGAAAAGATGGACAGGTTCGTAAGTGCTTGCGTAACTGCTGCGTGAATGTGGCCCCTGGCCAGTAAATGGATGGGTGAGCGCATGGACATAGCGTTATTAAATACTACACACTTTGTATTCAATATTTAAAAGCATTTCATCAGTTATTGTATAGGTTACTGAGAAGCCTCGTGTGGGTTTGGCTCCTTTTTCAACAGTTTGTTGGATGTTTTCAGATACAGTTCTCATGACGCTTACAGAGTTAATCTTTCTTCACAGTTGTGTGACTAACCTTGTAGGAAATTGATGTGCCTTCTCCAGCTGGGGCATTGTGATTGTGTGCGTACTCACCTGTTTGTGCCTGCAGGATTGAGCTCTACCTCTGGGACGTGTGTGTGTGTGTACTCACCTATATGTGTGTGTGTGTGTGTGTGTGTGTGTGTGTGTGTGTGTGTGTGTACTCACCTAGTTGTACTCACTGTGTGTGTGTGTGTGTGTGTTTGTGTGTGTGTGTGTATATTCACCTAGTTGTGAGTACACACACACATCTTTTAGGGTGCTTTACACTGCCTACGTGAGACCCGTCTTAGAGTATGCCGCGCCATCATGGAGCCCCCATCTGAAGAAACACATAAGGAAACTGGAGAAGGTTCAGAGGTTTGCGACGAGGCTTGTCCCAGAGTTATGAGGGATGGGATATGAAGAGCGTCTGAAGGAACTGAACCTTACGACACTAGAGAAAAGAAGGGAGAGAGGAGATATGATAGGGACATATAAAATACTCAGGGGAATTGACAAAGTGAAAATAGATGAAATGTTTACACATAATAATAACAGAACGAGGGGACATGGGTGGAAGCTGAAAACTTAGACGAGTCACAGAGATGTTAGGAAGTTTTCTTTTAGCGTGAGAGTAGTGGAAAAATGGAATGCACTTAAGAAACAGGTTGTGGAAGCAAACTCTATTCATACTTTTAAAATTAGGTATGATAGGGAAATGGGACAGAAGTCATTGCTGTAAACAACCGATGGCTGGAAAGACGGGATCCAAGAGTCAATGCTCGATCCTGCAAGCACAAATAGGTGAGTACACACAATGTTTAGATGAGAATGGCCCAGTTCTAAAGCGTTTAAGAGAATGGAAAACATGGTGCAGTAGAGGGGGGGGGGACAAGGCCAAACGCCGCCTGATTACACCGCTAATGGGAGCAGCGCGCCCTCTAGCTATCACTACCATGTAGTCTCTTGATATTGGGGGACGCTGCTGCTCCTTTGACCTCCTCGCCCACGCAGTTAAGGCTCTGGAAAAATGTGTGTAAATATCTGGGAGTTGGGCAGTTTCAAAGGGAAAGCGAAAGAATTAAAACTGTATCGTGGTGTATCGTATTCTCCTCGGGCGGGTTAGGCTAGGAGGCAGGGAGGGAGTAATACTGTTGTGCAATGTTGTTGTGATTCTGGTACTTTTGTGTTGTAGTGTGTAGTACTACTTTTGTTGTGACTAATACTTTCGTATTGTGTTATGACTACTTCTTTAGTGTTGTGTAATACGTTTAATGCCGCTAGGGCACCTGACAGCTGGGTGGACAGCGCTTTGGATTCCTAGTCCTGAGGTTCCGGGTTCGATCCCCGGTGGAGGCGGAGACAAATGGGCAAAATGTTTCTTTCACCCCTGATGTCCCTGTTACCTAGCAGTAAATAGGTACCTGGGAGTTAGACAGCTGCTACGGGCTGCTTCCTGGGGGTGGAGGCCTGGTTGAAGACCGGGCCGCGGGGACGCTGAGCCCCGAAATCATCTCAAGATAACCTCAAGATATATAGGGATTTCTTTTGGTGCATGTTAGTGAGTTATGGCATCTGTCTAGCTTGTTCATACACATGTTTCTATATATATATATATATATATATATATATATATATATATATATATATATATATATATATATATATATATATATATATATATATTCCACCCAGCTGTATATATATATATATATATATATATATATATATATATATATATATATATATATATATATATATATATATATATATATATATATATATATATACTAGATTTATTCCTCCAAGGAGTGCCGGACCAACCGGGCTGTGGTGGGTATGTGGGCCTGCGGGCCGCTCCAAGCAACAGCCTGGTGGACCAAACTCTCACAAGTCGAGCCTGGCCTCGGGCCGGGCTTGGGGAGTAGACGAACTCCCAGAACCCCATCAACCAGGTATCAACCAGGTATATATATATATATATATATATATATATATATATATATATATATATATATATATATATATATATATATATATATTCTTTTTTGTCTATGTAGTGTGTTTATAGGTTCTTTTATTAATGATTTTTTACATCCATATTAACTTCTTTTTTACGGACGAGATTACCATCAAGCTATGCTTTACAACCAGCCGGTGGGGATGCGTTTGTTTACAAGCTGGAAGGCGACGTATGCTGTTCTGTTTACAACCAGTCAGTGGGGATATGTTGTTTACAACAAGGGGCGGGGATATTATTTTCTGAGAACACGCTGCCACCAAGATTGGAATAGCACTGTGTCCTACAGCTTAGACCTATTGTCTTGTGTATGGCCCTCTGTCCTGTGTGACAGTGAATACCAGCATTATCCTCAATAATAAGATTGTTTTGATTCAAGTTCAAGTATGTTTATTGAGACAAGAAAGAAATACATCTCAGAGGGATAGAGTAGCTTAGGCTATTTCTACCCCCCTATTGTTTTGATTGTTCCCGCCGGAGGCCGCTAGTTTATTGTGCACCCCATACTTAGCCTGTGAGCGGTAGCGCAAAAAGCATTACAGAGGGCACAAAAGGTCTTTATCAGACCTCATCTTAGATTATTACATAAATAATTTAATTTATCCTTCACACCTTATAGTTACATGTCAGCTAGTTACAGAGAATGTTCTATTTCAAGAGCTATATATTTACAATAAGTTATTATACATCAATGATAGGTCTTATCGCTAATAATTGTTTTAACAATGGAGATATTACCGAGTGACAGCGGAGCTGCTGTTTATTATTAGTCGTCACAATACACTACTTGTTTCTTAATCTCCTGTGTTGTTTATCTGCTGGAAGTGAAATATGGATACAGTGCAAGGACTTAATTGAGTCCCTCAGATTAGGCAAAATTGTAATTAATTTTTTGTCAATAAAGATGTTAATAATAATATTGTTGTTGTTAAAGATTCGCTACCTGGAACAGAGTTCCAAGTAGCACGGGCTATGGTGAGCCCGTAGTGCCTTTAATAATAATAATGCTTCGTGGAGGGAACCAGCAGCCTCGGAACTCCTGGAGTATTGTACTTTGTGTTACCAATAATTATAACCTCAATTGCTTACTCATATATGTGGTATTTGAGGCACCTGAATCATAAGATTTTTATAGTAATAATACAGTCCTATTGAAAACATTTTGGTAATATACATTTGTACACAAATTTTTATTGTTGTTGAATTTGCAATAATTGTGTCTTTCACGTTGTGTTCATATTATACAATTCCCTTCTTCTTGGACACTCGTGATGAATTAGTGGGTAAGTTACACCTCCACAATCATCAAGTTCAATCATCATTGTGCTTATAGGAAATACAATTCCCGTGACGGTTCAATATCAATAGACTAAGATAATATGTGTGTCTATGTATGTATTAACACGATGTACTGAACGGGGTGAGAATAGCTTAAGCTACCTAGGGGGAGCCGGTCGGCCGAGCGGACAGCACGCTGGACTTGTGATCCTGTGGTCCTGGGTTCGATCCCAGGCCCCGGCGAGAAACAATGGGCAGAGTTTCTTTCACCCTATGCCCCTGTTACCTAGCAGTAAAATAGGTACCTGGGTGTTAGTCAGCTGTCACGGGCTGCTTCCTGGGGGGTGGAGGCCTGGTCGAGGACCGGGCCGCGGGGACACTAAAAAGCCCCGAAATCATCTCAAGATAACCTCATCCCTTTGTGTGTATTTTACCTCAATAAACTTATTTCAATTTCAATTTCAAGATAATATGTTTCTCAACAGCGTGATATGTTTCTCCTGGGTGTGGAGGCCTGGTCGAGGACCGGGCCGCGGGGACACTAAAAAGACCCGAAATCATCTCTAGATAACCTCAAGATAACCTCATTCCTTTGTGTGCATTTGACCTCAATAAACTTATTTCAATTTCAATTTCAATTTCAAGATAATATGTTTGTCACCAGCGTTGCTGTTACTGGTGGGCGTGGTGGTGTTCCCCGCCGGGTGGGCCGCCGGTGAGGTGAGAGAGGTGTGCGGCCCCACCGCTCGTCAGTACAATGTGGGCGAGTGTGAGGTGCGTTGGGCCTACATTCTCGCCATTATTGGCATTCTCGACGCTGCTGTGCTGTCCGCTCTCGCGTTTGTCCTTGCTACCCGACATGTCAAGCTGCAGCCGGAGCCCGAGCCCATCTATGGCGGGTCTGTGTACAAAGGTAAGACATTCTTCTCTCGGTTCTGTGTACAAAGGTAAGACATCCTTCTCTCGGTTCTGTGTACAAAGGTAAGACATCCTTCACTCGGTTCTGTGTACAAAGGTAAGACATCCTTCTCTCCCGGGACGAGTCTTTGTGAAGAATCGTTCCTACTTCAAAATATATATATATATATATATATATATATATATATATATATATATATATATACTTATTTTTAAGTCTCCAAATTAGATATTCCATGTATGGTAATAAAATGTATTTTTCAATTTCTCCTTATATATTTACCAAGTAATTGAGATAATGTTAACTGTAAACATGTGTAATTTCGGAAAATTTAAGCAAACCCTTTCGGTAATAGGCTATGAAGAGATTTTATGTTAATATTATAAAGCTCTTTATTTCTTTTTAATTGACAAATATAATATTAATGTGTAACTAATTAAAAAATGTAAATAAAATTTGTAATCATCTGTGAGTTAAAGGACAAAATAATTCACTCACTGTTTATAAGTTGCTAAGAAAATCGACCAAATAACCCACAATATTGTACATTGAATGATTTGTGTTCATTTATTAATTTGTCTACTGTTTGAATAACTAGTGGACTCATTGTACATGAACTTACAAACCATAGAAATATGCAGGCGATGAGTCACAATAATTATTGTGACTCATCTGATTTATTGCGACGAATAAATTACAAAAAATCACAATAATTACTGTGACTAATTTATTGCCCTCAACTCGTTCCCTCATCACAATCGACTTGAGAATGGTCCAGGACGGACCGAAACGTCGTCGTCCCTTCATTTTCTAGTGTGTGGTCTGGTCACCATAGAAATAGCCGGTGGAGTTGTTGATTGAAATTATATTTGCAGGTCAAATGAACGCGGGCTTCGTGGGTGACGCTGGAAGCCTAGGTGGGTCTAGGAAGTCCCTCAACCTGCAGCCTGTTATGCTGATGCCTCACCCGGACCACGACCGCTTCTCCGAATACTCCCACCACACTGCTCGCTCCAAGGCTTCTGCGTACAGGGCTCACTATGCTTCATCTGTACAGAACTTCCAGTTATAGGACGACCATCTCTGGGGGGGGGGGATAGTAGGAATTTTTAGATTATATCAATTATGCTTTTATTCCACATTGCCCATCGGCTTTTAATTGATCGGTACAGCGACGGCATCGCTTCTTGGGGGGTTTTTGTTCGATCCTCAATGGTACAAGTGGGTAGGCACTGTTCCTTAATTCACTACGTCTTTATATCCCAGCTTTCAGTCTGTCCTTATATCTCAGCCTTTCGTCCAGTGATTTCCATCCTGTTTTCTTTGGTAGAACCCTTGGTATATATCATAGAATCTCAGGAACCTCCAGCCTGGCTGACACATTTGGTTCGACAGAGGTAAACTGCAAAATAGACGTGTAAAGCAGTAGGGTTAATAAATAATAATTGACTCACACTGTTCAATAAAATATTACGAGAGTATTTAATGCCAATTTCTTTTTACTAATTACTTATTACTCATTTTACTAATTGTTAATGGGCAGACTATTCGGAATTTTCAATGTTGCTATACATATTAGAACTGAAGGGGGTTTGAATGCCTGTGTAAATAGGTTTGTAGATAGAAATGGTCTAGCCTTAATATTCGGCTAGTAAATATGTATTATAAAACATCTTTCTTAAATTATAGTGCAAGGTTACTGTATCAGTTCAACACAGAGTAATTGTTAATTAATGAAAAGGGAAGATTAAAAATAATAGTTATTATTATTAACATCTTTATTGACAAAAATTAATTACAATTTTGCCTAATCTGAGGATTTTGATAGTCTTATTGAAGTGAGGATAATGGTGGTATTCACTGTCACGCAGGACAGAGGGTCATACACAAGACAATAGGTCTAAACTGTAGGCTGAAGCACATATATATCATGGTTACAATCAATGTTTTAATGTATGGATATGTGAAGACAACTTTCTATTGTACACTGCCACACAAGGGCAGGGATGGGTTCATAAGTGATGCAGCTTAGAAGTAATATAAATAAAAATTGTTCTTCAATAGTGCCCTAATTTTGGGGTTGTGCAGGTTGGCAGTGCTGCCAACGCCTCTCTCGTCTCTTTGTTTACAAATCCAAGTGTCCAATGGGGAGTAGAAATTGTTGGCTTCATCTGTACCCCCCTTAAAGGGTTTGCCAGAAATTAATTATCGGACAGTAATAAGCAGCATTTAATTAATAAATTGTATAGCAATAAATTGATACTGTACTCGTGTAATGTACACGAGTACAGTAACGAGTACAATGCTCATTACTACCACGTGAATTCCTTTATACTACAGTCCCTGAGCCCATTATGTGCCTCTGTAACCCTTTCCACTACCGCCCACAACATGGGTATGGGATGCATAATAAATGAGCTAAACTAACTACAACAATTCCCTTCCTCAACAAAATGTATCCAAATAAACTCCCGCTGCTTGAATAACAACCATCACACAGATACCAACCGAGCTAAACTTTCAAAATGCTTTATTTTTTATTAATAGGTCACAGTAAAAACATTTTAATTTGTTGACTCATGTTACAAAAAAGGTGGCAAGTTGCACCATTTTTGGCAAAGTCTCTTGAAACCCTGGTTGGGAATCACTGGCCTATTTGTCCTTATAATATTCTAGCTCTTTGCCTGTCCTCATATGCTACCACTCAACCTGTCCCCATATATCCTTTCTCCAAGTGCTATATAAACATACTGGCTTAGCACTTCTAATAATTACAATACCTTCATTCCTTCTGTAGAAACTTGGGTGTATCCCATAGTAAATATTCTGTTGTAAATGTTTCAAGTAAGCTTCACCTTCAAGAGCTGTAATAAAGAATATGAATCTTATTTTTTTTTATTAATACATTAGGTACATTTTGTACAGCTACCCTAGACTATATGAAGAGGTGTACAGTGTGTCAAAAAGCTAGCTATGTGATGCTAAAAAAATCCTATGAATCTTAAGATTGGAACAGTTTGGTGTTAGTTTGTGAATCTTAAGATTGGAACAAACTAACACCAAACTCGCATTCAGAGAAGGAATTTGACATTAACTAAACCGAGACATGAACAATTCTTTTCTCTCAATGTGTGGGTTAGTTATCTGTCATGTAATAATATTTGTCTGAAACATGTTTGTACCTTAATCTTCCATATATGATAGTTTTTTTTTTTTGTGTTTAACAAAACATTTAATGTTTGTAATTTGGAACATTTTGTAAATGGTTCAAAAAAATTCAAGGATCCGTAAAGATATTATTTATACAATTACGGATACAAGGATCCGTAAAGATCCGTAAAGATTAAGGATGGTCAAAATATTTATCGTATTTCTTATTCTATGTGAAACATAGTTTTGTTTGAGAGCTTATTGTTTATTAATTAATATGTACAGGGAGCATCTTATGTTGATGGTGAGCCTCCAACACGTCACTCTTGTATAGTGAGCCTCCAACACGTCACTCTTGTATAGTGAGCCTCCAACACGTCACTCTTGTATAGTGAGCCTCCAACACGTCACTATTGTATAGTGAAGTTCAGCTGGTGGCGTGTATGGTGCAGCTCCAGCTGGTCATATGTCTTGTAACTATCACCTACCAAAACTGAGAAAGATATTACAATGCAGAATTACTCAGTATTTTATGTAGTGATAAATCCATAATTGTAAAATCAAAGGCATATCACGCATATCACTCGCATTCTGAACAGTTTTTTTTAACCGATTGCATGTTTGGATCTATTCATAATATCCATTATTAAATTTGACAGAGAGATAGGTTGATGGAATGAAGGCATGATTAGGATTGGTTTCGGAATGAAGGTATGATTAGGATTGGCTTCGGAATGAAGGTATGATTGGGATTGGTTTCTTTCCTTTGATATAGTGCACATTGGATTGGATTGTTTACACGTGTTCAGCGCGTGGTGTCAGATCGTGGCTAAACTGTACTGCTGTTTTCCCCAGTATATGCGAGACCCGACACGCCCAGAACTCGTCTATCATCTATTTACTAAACCTGTACATCTTTCCGTGATATTGGCGGCTTAATTTATATTCGATGAGAAGTTGATGACCTTGGAAACTTTTTTAAGCCAAGGTTATTATTGTTATGCACAACCTGGTAGATCTTCGGGGGATCATAAACTATTTACTAAATGTAAACTTTGTCGCCAGGATTGAGAAAAGATGTACAGGTTTCGCAAGGGAAGACAAAAGTGCTTGATGAATTCTGGGCCGTGCTGGTCATCAAGACATCGCCGACACACCAGATATGGTCTTAAGACTATTCTAAGCCGTATTCTAAGGCTTAGAATAGATAACTTTGTATTCTAAGGCTTAGAATAGATAACTTTGTATTCTAAGGCTTAGAATAGATAACTTTGTATTCTAAGGCTTAGAATAGATAACTTTGTATTCTAAGGCTTAGAATAGATAACTTTGTATTCTAAGGCTTAGAATAGATAACTTTGTATTCTAAGGCTTAGAATAGATAACTTTGTATTCTAAGGCTTAGAATAGATAACTTTGTATTCTAAGGCTTAGAATAGATAACTTTAATTTTATTATTGAACATTTACATGTGTTGAGTATTGTATAACATTATTATGTATATACTTGTATAGGAAAATAAAAAAGCAGCGTTTTATAATTTAAATAAAAACCTATACATAGCCTAGCGCTGTTATGATGCACTTGATAAAGCTCGAAGCACTTATTATCCTCCTAATACCATATTAACTTAGAGTACTAGCCATGGTAACGATATGGTATTAATGTGGAGATACTTAATAAATCCTAATATTGTTATTGTTTAATTCTTACCCCGTGCTGGAGCTATATGTTGAATATACCATAGTAGATGGTGTGTACCCAGCGGTGCCCAGGTCAGTCCAGTACCCAGGTACATCCTCCCAGTCTCCCCACATCGCTGTAACATCCTTCAGTACACAGTCTTTATCATTGTAAGCCTCCACAGATGCCCCGAGCCTTCATAGATACCCTTGAGCCTACCTAGATGCCTAAAGCCGTCATATCTCACCAGGCTCACTAGGGAGGGAGTCAGATTCACCAGGGAGGAGTCAGGCTCACTAGGGAGGGAGTCAGATTCACCAGGGAGGAGTCAGGCTCACTAGGGAGGGAGTCTGACTCGCTTGGAGGGAGTCAGATTCACCAGGGAGGGAGCCAGACTCATCAGGGAGGGAGTCAGACTCGCTTGGAGGAAGTCAGACTCACCAGGGAGGGAGTCTGACTCGCTTGGAGGGAGTCAGATTCACCAGGGAGGGAGCCAGACTCATCAGGGAGGGAGTCAGACTCGCTTGGAGGAAGTCAGACTCACCAGGGAGGAGTCAGACTCACCAGGGAGGGAGTCAGACTCACCAGGGAGGGAGTCAGACTCACCAGGGAGGAGTCAGACTCACCAGGGAGGGAGCGACTCACTAGGGACGGAGCTTGAGAACGAACATGCTGCTTAGACAAGCAGCGATAAACACACAAACAGACTGTGTGGGTCAGACCTATTTATACCCACGCTCCCTTCCTGGGCGTGAAGAGCGAGGTAAATGGATGCCTGTTTGGGGAGGAGACATAGAGGAGGCAGGTGGACGGAGATGACGTGGTAGGGAAGACGGGTAGAAGTAGAAAACAGAGGAGACAGTACTGGGAAGAGACAGGTGGAATTAGCAGACGGAGAGGAGGCAGGTACAGGGTGGGAAGAGACGGGAGGACACTAGATGATTCCGAGGATTAACTTCCCCGCGACCAGGGCTCCTGGTTGATGGTCTGATCAATCAGGCTGTTCGATGTAGCTTGGCGCATAAGTCACAGCCTGGTTTATCACGGTTGATCCTGGTATTCAAAAAAACTTAATGTTAGGATAATTTTGATCACCGGGGGGGACTTTTCCCAGAGATTTAATGGCTTGAAGGTCCTGATACTTTAAAGATAAAAAATCTAGTCCTTGCTGCCAAATCGCATTTGACTATTCTAAGTGTTTGGTTGATGTTTAACTGCTCCTCCTGACTGGGCAACTGTTAAGAGATTTATATACACATTAAACTCTTTGCTTTCCATAGAGAGCAGAGCGGGATTGCCTAATAATTGCTTGTACAAGCATTGTGGTACATAATTAGTGTGTATTTTGTAACTCGTCAAAAATCTTAAATTTAGGTGAGAGTAAAGGAATCTGAAGAAGTGTCTATTGACTTGCAATGCAGCTGATATATATATATATATATATATATATATATATATATATATATATATATATATATATATATATATATATATATATATATATATATATATGCAACCAATCCCACTCATGTAATGTATGGACCATTATCGCGGGCCGCGGATAGATTAATGTATAGCACTAATAATTAAGTGCATGTGTGTGTATCACTGAAGAAGTCTATTGTATAGTGTATATATATATATATATATATGCAACCAATCCCACTCATGTAATGTATGGACCATTATCGCGGGCCGCGGATAGATTAATGTATAGCACATTAAGTGCATGTGTGTGTATCACAGTTGTACAGTGTATAGGTTCTTGTTTATCTGCGTTTATTTAGGCATGTGTAAATACTGGGTGAAAGAAGAGAGAAAAATATTGTTCGTGAGTAAACAAAATTACAATTAGCTTTGCTTTCACGCTAACAAGCACACAGCTGCTGTCAAGTTAC